TGAAGTCTTTAAACTACCTACATGCAACTTTCCAGAAACAGCATGCTAGATTGCCTTGCTAAAATTCCCAGGTGCTCTCTCAAGTGACTCCAGCTCACTGTTCCATGCTTATTCTTTAAATGATCAGAGCATCTTTTGTCTCTGGGCAGCTTCCTGTCAAAAGAAGTCCTCCAACCCACAAAAGCACAAGGAAGAAAAGCACTATTAGTAGCCCTGAACAGATTGAACATTCCAACAAGGAGAACGTTTTCCCTCCCTTTCTCTAGCCCCTTCTTCTCTGAAATTCAGATGTTTTATAAGATCAGATTAGACTTAAAATTTGGAAGACTTACTCCCACAGTAGAGCCACAGCTCCTTACAAACCCATTGCTATTTTTGTTCTGTTTTTCAAAAAGGCTCTGTTTTTCCACCTGAAGCATGCTTTGCAAAACATTTCAATAGAACATTAATATATTTTAGTAAAAAATAAATTGTGGGGCTAGGAAGGTGGCTCAGTGGTAGAGCACTTGCCTTGCATACATGAGACCCTGGGTTTGATTCCTCAGCACCACATAAGCAAAAAGAAAAAAGCTGGGAGTGGCACTGTGGCTCAAGTGGTAGAGCACTAGCCTTGAGATGAAGAGCTGAGGGACGGCGCCCAGGCCCAGAGTTCAGGCCCCATGACTGGACCCAAAAATAAATAAATAAATAAATAAATTGTGTTTTCGCCTAAAATTTTGTACTCATTAATCACTTGCCAAATAATCTGGTATCATTCTCACTAATCTTTGCTCTGCTTTGGGAAGTCATCCTGAATTCTTAAACTCTAGTCACAAACTGTTGATTATAAAACTTCCACTTGGGATTTCGCTACAACAACCAATCACGGCAATCATTGTCAATGGTAACCGAGGATTTTTTTGTCTTCTCAAGTGTTCTTGTATCTTTTGCTCTTTGTAAATGTCCTTGCACATTTACTATTTTGTTTTGTTTTGTTTTGTTTGTAATAACTCCTTCAGTCATTCTTTTTTCACCTTAGCTAGAATCAGGTTAAAATATTAATTTCTGTTTAGAAATGCCCCCTAGTTAGCCTTTAGAAACTATGAGTCTTTTTTTAAATGTTTTTTATTGTGAAAATGCTGTACAGAGGGGTTACAGTCACATGAGCAAGGTAATGAGTACATTTCCTATCCAGCATTGTTGCCTCCTCCTTTGTTTTCTCCCTACTATCCAGTCCCTCCCACCTCCTCAACTATACCCCTGACCCCCTAACCCCCCATCTCTCACCCCGCCTAAGTTGTGAAGTTCATCTTTCGACATAGCGTCTTGTACATCTCCTTGTTGCAATGGGTCAATCTGTATCCCTATTTAAACATTTTGTTTTTTCCATTCTCCTCCCCAAATTATACCAACATCAAATACAGTGAAAATAGGGGTTATACCATGGGAGAGAGAGAGCTCATAAAAAGTATAACCATTTTGAAAATTATACATGTATACACAGCTTACCTAAATACTACAGGAAGATAGAGATGTATGTTTTACTGAGGGCATGGTTCAAGTGGTAAAGTGCTTACCTAGCAAACATGAGAAACTGAGTTCAAATCCTAGTACTGCAAGAGGGAAAGGAACAGAGAGGGGGCGGGGGGAAACAGAGAGGAACAGAGAGAAACAGAGAGAAAGAGGAGAGAAGTTTTAGAATATGTACTATAAGGAGATAAAGGAATGACTTGAGAGTTAACTCATAATTTTAATCATTTGACTCTAATTACATTTAGTAACATAACTAAGAGTTTCAAAAGCAGAAAGAGAAGATTCTCATGGAAGAAAAATAATCACCATGTTGGAGAAAGTACTACAATCCTTTTGGGATGTTTGTACACCACACACACACACACACACACACACACACACACACACACACACACACACACACACACACACACACAGTCAAAAATACTTAAAACATCACTGGAGAGAAAAAAAGAATGACACTTCTATTAACAAATTTATCACAATCTAACAAGAGAAAAGCCAATGCCATAAAACATAATACAGTGTAATAAATCTTATTTTATATGAATAAAGGACTTATGAAGAACAAAAACAGGTGTATTTAGTCCTGAGAAAATTACAGTTGACTTTGCTAGATCTTATAGAATTTCACCAAGAAAAGGTTTAAAGATAAGTAAAAGACAAAGAGGAAGAAAAGGACATAAAATAATCAGGTAATGGGGACTTACAGCAAAAAGGCTTTTTTCTAACAACTCATTTTTTCTCAGAGCAACTGGATACTGTGAAGAGATTTTAGGTGAAAGAATGAAATAATTAGGTCTGCATTTTTAAACTATGATTCAAGCTAAAGTAAGAGGACTATATGGGAGGATGAAAGATAAGCTGAAAAATCAGTTAGGAAGCGATTGTGAGTTGATACTTAAGATTATACAAGCCTGGTCTATGATTATTGCAGTGGGAAAAAGGAGGAAGTTACAAAAGGCACTTTAGAAGTATCAACTATTAGGTTTAATGATCAACTGATTATAACAAAGGGGAAAAGAAACAAGTATGCTCTGAGATTTTTGGCTGAGTGATTGGATATATGGAAGTACTATTAGCTAAAATTGAGAAAACGTTCTTTTGGCTAAAAGAAGTACTTAGAGCATCGAGTGGGAGGCACTCAAGTGGAGATTTACAGGAAGAAATTAGAACTCAAGAGAAGCTACACCTAGACTCACCGGCTTTAAAGACTCATTATTGCTAGAGACATAAAAGCTAGGATCAACAACAGAAACAATGGAGTGGGGGAAAAAAGGCAAAAAAAAAAAACAAAAAAAACTCCCAAGGTACACCACAACTAAGGGAAAAGAGGGTCCTAAAGAACTAAAGGGGAAGAAAACCTTAAAAAGAATCAGCCAAAGGTCAGGAGAAGCAAAAATAAAAGTAAAAAGGTATACAACTAAATTTGGAAGGAGCGTTGCAAAATCTAAGGGAGGGATGTCTCAAAAAGGGACTGTTGCCTAAGAGGAAGGAAGGAAGGGAGGGAGGGAGGGAGGGAGGGAGGGAGGGAGGGAGGAAATCAAGTTGGATTCACAGGGGCATGAGGAGGAAAAGAGGGTGTAAGGTAGTAGATGACTCAAGGAAGCAGCAAGATCTGGAGATGATGTGACACAATTAGGAAATATTGAAATGTCACAGAGAATTTACCTTAAAATTTCGGCCTGTAGCTTGTGACCATACATTCAGAAACATAGTTGCCTGTTTATGGGACTTCAGCTCCTTAAACTCCTGCTTCACGGAAGCTTGCCTTAAAAACCCACCATGTGTAAACAGTTACTTAAGAAACATATTTCTCATGGTGCACAATTTACTTTTCCTGGCCATGGCTTTTTGGGCCAATGGAAAAATGTTATGAAAAAATATGGTCTTACAGTAAAATTGGGTGTTCGAACTTGGATGATTTAAGTGGGAATGAAAACCCATCTTGGGGTTCATGTCAGAGAAGAAATGCATTGCTCAGGTCATCCACCAATTTCAAGATTCTGGGGCTGAAGAGAAGCCAATAACAAGCTTACAAGAAGTTAGCATGGAGGGAAAAGAGAAAAGGAGAAGGGAACTATATATGAAACACAGAAGGGTGTTTCCAAAAGGAAAAAGTGTCAATGATGGAGAGAAAACAAAGAATCTTCTTTACTTGGGATAGCTGGGACCTTAAAAGAACATTTTTAGTAGAATGATGAAACAGAACACAAATTTAGAAAGGAAAGAGAATGTAATCCCCTAATGTATCCTTCATTTCTCATATGCAGTAAGTTATCTTCTATATATAATGAACCATTGTATATAATGTGGCTAAGTTATATGTGTATATACATGCACACACATAATGGTCTAATATACAAAGCTATATTGTCATGTACACCATAAGAACATTCAATCAGCAATGGACCAAATATATTTAACTTAGTGACATGATACCTGACTTAGTCTGTGTACGTACACTCTATTATGTCTGCACAAGAAAGACATTGTGGGGGGGAGGGACTCTGGTCATGGGGCCTAAACTCTGTGCGTGGGCGCTGTCCCTCAGCTCTTCAGCTCAAGGCTAGCACTCTACCACTTGAGCCACATTGCCACTTCCGGCTTTTTTTTTTTTTTGCTTATGTGGTGCTGAGGAATCTAACCCAGGGCCTCATGCATGCAAGGCAAGCGCTCTACCACTGAGCCACCTTCCCAGCCCAAAGAAAGACATTTTTGAATGATGCATTTCTTATCATTGTTATTAAACAATGTATAGTTGTGTTGAATATATAATTTATCTCACATTAAGAACATCACAAAAATAAGGCACAAGCCCCAAGTTCAAATCCCAACACTGTCAAAAAAGAACATCACAAAAATGAACATATACTGTAATATAAATTATATTTATCAAGGTTCAAAAAAGCTCATAATATACATTAATGACAACTGAATTATTACTTTTTTTGCTCCTCTTTTAAAAAATAAACTTCAACTTGGAATAAAAATGAACTTGGAAACTGACTTGAAATCCCAAGAAGGATTATGAGATGTGCTAGTAAAAGAAAAAGGAAATAAATAAACATTGTTTCTAAGAATTTCAAGCTAGTCTGCTGGGTACTCACGGCTCATACCTAGAATCCTAACTGCTCTCAAGAGACTGAGATCTGAGAATCATGGTTCCAAGGCAGACTAGGCAAGAAAGTCAATGAGACGTTTATCTCCAATTAACCACAAAATAATACCAGAAGTGGAGCTATGGCTCAGGTAAGTAGTAGAGTGCTAGCCTTGAGAGAAAAAAAGAAAAGAAAAGAAAAAAACCACCAGGGCTTAAAATAGAAAAAGAAAGAAAGAAAATGAAAAGAAGGAAGGAAGGGAAGGGGAAGGGAGGGGAGGAGAGAGAATGGGAGGGGAGGGGAGGGAGGCAGGTTGGGAATTACAAATTATAAGGAACCTTCTTGACATGACTCAATTTATTGTCTTTTTCTCCCCTACCCCTCCAGTGGGATGGAGCATGTCAAAAGACTTTTCTCCTTTGGCTGGAGAAATCATCATGGAGAACATGCAGACCCTGAGATGCACAATCACAGGACTTACAACGGTAAAAGTCCTACTGGCACACTTGCCATTCCCTGTCACTGATATCTGCACTGGGATGCTTGGTAGCAAAAGCCTACTCTGGAACCAACAGTCAACACCCAGCCCTGTGGCAACAACTGCCACTCATTAAACGTGATATGTCTGGTATCCATAATCTGAACTTCACAAAGGAGTAGGCAGACAGCATGAACCACTTTGTAAGCTGCCATGTTCTAAAGAGATCAGAAAAAGACTGGCCTCATGCAAGCCTTGAAAGCTGCTGCTTTCTGGATCACAGTCTAATCTGCAGGGGATCAAAGGCTCTGAGAGATCCAATTTTGACTCCCTGTCTGATGGTAAAAATAACAGCCTAATCGAGCCCTCACCCCCACAGTCTCAGCTGAGATCAGTCATCAATTGGAGTCACACAATTTCCTGAGAGATATCCTTTCCCCTTGATTAAAAAGAAAAAAAACTGTCTAAATCTGCTTCTACATAAAAAGAAATTATATATGGTGGAACTACATTTCTCAGTAACCTAAACCAATTTAAACTGTGAATGAAAAACTAGAACAAACCATATTTATTTGTTTAAGCAATCTAAACTCAAACACTATTTATGGAACTAGGAACCATATGAAGGTATGAAAAGCAAAAAATAAAAATACCTAATAAATCAGTTCAACCTGCAATGAATCCTATATTATCCTCAGTTATAATACAAAAGAAAAAAATTAATCAAAATCTTTTAAAAGTAAACTTGAATTGTTTATCAAATTCAAATAATATCTTCAGATTTTCATATGGGAGAAGTAGACAGATAGTTCTGTTGTTGTTTTCTTAAAGTCTAGTCAATTAAAATAGTTATCTGTAATATATAATCCTGAAACCGCATTTAAAAGCTGCATTAGGCTCTATCTTTTCAAGTTTGAACCAGTGTATTCTAATAGAATTTCTTGGTGGCTGGGTCACCTCCAAGCATCCTGACTTTTAGTTCTAATCACATGTCTACACCAGGGGCCAGAACTGTGGATTACCAGTGCAAACAAACCCCTGAGTGGGTGGCCCCCAGAGATTCTATCAGCAGAAGAGTGATTCCAACCCTCTGGCTCATGTGATGGAAGAAGGCCAGAAGGAACCTTAGGGAATTTCCATTTCTTAAAAGAAAAAGTGATATGTCAATAAAAATGGAAAACTCTCCATAGAGGATTTCTCTAATATCTGAACTAATTTTTATAGGGATTAACTTTTTCCACTTGGCCATCCAATGAGAATGATGCAGATATTATCCTAATCATATAAAAGCCTAGAAGTAGATTTACACTTCTGCATAATCCCTATAACTTTGCAGTGCATAGAAACCCATTTTCAATGTGAGAAAAAAATTGACTTCATAATATGGTAAGGCCAATATTATTAAATCTCTAGCAAAGCTTTTTTTTTTTACTTCAAATACCTTTTTAACCATCTTTGCAAGAAATGTTAGTTTCTCAAATGACCTTTTTGTTTCATTACAAAAAGAAAAGAAAAAAGAGAGAAACCTCAAAGCAAAACATAAACCACACAAAACATTTTAAAGATTAGCAAAAGAAAGCAACTTTATGTATTTATTTATTTGTTTGTTTGTTTGTTTGTTTATTGGCCAATCATGGAATGTGAACTATGAGGCTAGGTGCTGTCCCTAGGCTCCTTTTGCTCAAAGCTAACACTCTTCCACTGGAGCCGCCACTGTGCCACTACCAGCTTTTTCTTAATTGGTGATAAAAGTCTCACAGACTTTCCTGCCCAGGCTAGCTTTGAACCGTGATCCTCAGATCTCAGCCTCCTGAGTATCTAGGATTATAGGCGTGAGCCACTGGCACCTGGCAACTTCTTAATTCTTAATGCCATAAAAATACATTAAGGACTATAAGCCATCATTTCATTAGTGTCTTTAAAATTGAAATCACACCAAAGAGTTCATCTTAACTTTAAATATTCAACAGCCAGGTAGAAGATATTTAGTGCAGCATGATTTTTGTGGCACAAAATGGCAGCAATCCAAATGTCCATCAATGGAAAATGAGCTAAATAAATGATAGTATTTGCAACCACAAAAGAATGAGGCTAATCTTTAATGCACTAATTTGAAATATAATTATGCCTTGTTAACTTTCCAAAGTAATTGATCAACTAAAGGAGGGGATGGTTGTTTCTCTGGGTAGGGGAAAATACCAATATACCAACTTTAGGTCACATATGTTTTTAAGTTTGCCAAAGCCAGATATCACCCAGCCACCTAAAAATTATGTGACCTAAAACTGGTATATAATTGGGAGGTGCACTGGGAAAAATATGATAGTCCAATTCTGAACAAGAAAACACATAGAAACTAATAGGATACTTCAAATATGATCACAATAATATATAAGCACAATGGTTAAGAACATTAAGAAAAATATGAAAAGTATGGACAGTGGAATCTCAAAGGATGAGCAAGTTATTAACCAAAAACAAAAACCTGCTTCTATGGTAAAAGTGATTAACTGCAATGCCTGATGCATTATTCTATTTCAATTCTTTGCAGGGCCAACAATATTTTGTCCAAGTCTCAGCTTACAACATGAAAGGATGGGGACCTGCTCAGACTACGACCCCAGCAAGTGCCTCTCCTTCTAGTAAGTGGTGGCTACTCTGCAACATGACCATACGCTCCAACATGAACTCCATCCTCAGAGCACCATTGACAGACCTATTTCCTACAGCTTACAACCATGATGCTTCTCATGGAAGCATTCAAGCCACAGAAAAATAACTCTTCTGATAAAATTCTCCTGGAAAGGCTGCTTGGTAGAGTGAAAGGAGAAAAATCTGGAACTAGAAGACTGAGTTTAATCATCATTATACCTTTTATTAGTTGTAACCTTCAAACATAACTTGAGCTCTCAGATCCTCCACTGAACATCTGTAGAATGAGTTTCATCATACCCTTTTCCGAGGCTTTCTTGGGATGAGAAGACAATATGAGGGGATGGCTGGCCCAGAGTACAGGACAGGAGAATGGGTTTCATTTTCCTTCCCTAGTCCCCAGTGGACATGTCATATCAACTTCATGAGGGATAAAATCTAACACATTTTACTTACTGACATTTTTCCAGAAGAAACGCTTTCTTAATAATAGTAACTCTGGACAAGGCAAAGCAATTAAACTTGAAGTTATAGTTGAACTCTTTTCACAGTTGTTTTTGTTATCAGGTTAATAATTTATAGACACATCAGCCTAAAAAGACAAACGAGGTGGAGGGCAAAACTGCCTCTTTTCCTTTCAGTGTTATCTATACTTCTAAGATCTCTTTTAAACGGGTCATTTTGCTACCATTAACAATTTAAAATCCTAAGTTAGAGCAATATTTCTTACCTTAATGAGCAATTATAAACACTCAGTTATTTAAGGCAACTTAATTTCTCTCTAAAATAAGTAAAAGTTGTTCCCGTATAACGATAGGTTATTTTGTTTTGTTAATGTAATAACAACAAAGAAACAAAAGAAGACAAAAATGTTTTGTTACCTTGGTACCTATTTAAAAAAATTTTTAAATGAAAAAAAAAAAAAAAACCAATCAGGGGTTGGGAAGGCAGCTCAGTGGTAGAGTGCTTGCTTGCCTTGCACTCATAAGGCCCTGGGTTAGATTCCTCAGCACCACATAAACAGAAAAAACCAGAAGTGGTGCTGTGGCTCAAGTGGTAGAGTACTAGCCTTGAGCTGAAGAGCTGAGGGACAGCACCTAGGCCCAGAGTTCAGGCCCACTACTGACAAAAAAAAAAAAAAATCACCCTGCAATGACCACAATCTATAACATTTGTACTGGTGGCTGAGAAACCAGCAAAGATCTCTTTGAATTTTTTGAAGAGTAGTTATGTATCGCCTGGTATGTTTGGCGATTATCTATTAACTAGAAATTTTAATTAACTAGAACAAACATCTGTAGTCAGACCATATGATATATTTTTCTCTGTAATGAGCCCAGTGCTCTAATTTGGTAGTTAAAAGTAGTATTAAATGCTTCTTGAGAGAAAACCAACTATATCTTTTATGGAACATAATTTACCTCATTATACCAACTATCTTAAGAAAATCCATTTCCAAAAAAAAAAAAAAAAATCCATTTCCTTTTGCTCCAAATAACTCATCTAGGAATTTAACCTAAGAAAACAGAAATGCAGATGAATAATATGTGAAAAGATGTACTACAAGTACAGTATACAGACAACAGTAAAGTATCATGTTTGGTAGGGAAAACAACTATTCATTATTAAGTTAATGGTTAAGTAAGGTATAATATATTCATATTTATATCCAACAATAAAACCAAACATAACCACTAAAAATCATTTATTGTGTGGGAAAATGTTCTACAGTCTGTTTCATGTAAATTATAAGAATAATGATAGTACAAATTGTAGGGTTTTCCATATAACATTTAACCATTTTTCTACCTATAATTAAGGTAAGTCTGTGTGTATTGGTATGAAAATTTAACAATGGGGTCGGGTGCTAGTGGTAGAATCCTAGCTATTCAGGAAGCTGAAATCTGAGGATCTCAGTTCTAAGGTTCTGGGCAGACAAATACATAAGACCTGTCTCCAATTGATCAGCAAAATGTTGAAAGTAAAAGTGTATCTCCAATGCTATGGTAACTAGCATCCTAATCTCAGACAAGGAAAGTAAATACAAAGTAAACTAAGGGCTAGCAAACCATGTCTGACTACTACCTCTGGCAGAATCAGATAGTCATGTTCAGTCACATAGGGCATTGTACCAACAATGCCAAAGGCTCACTCTGCATTTGATCATTCAATAATGTAAGCCTTATTCAGATGTCCATCAGAAGATTTATCAGAAACACAAACTGGTGAGATTAAGACACGAAGGGAACCAATCTCATTGGGGGAAGATGTTTTCTTGGAGATGGAAAGACAGGAAAAAAATTAATCTCAGGTGATCTAAAAACAGAGGAGAATCCATTCCAAATGCATACTCCATACAAATTATTAGCTGCATATGGATGCATTTATTTAAAAGGTTCAGATATATATAGCTCCTATAAATTGTAAATTCTTCTCAGACACCCTCTCTTACTGTTCAGCTGAAGAGCCTCTTCAGAATAATAACAGTTTTCAGTACTTAGAGGAGTCATTTATTTATTGGCAATTACCATATTAAATAGCAATGCTTTCTAAATGGTATGTTTGATTAGCAAGGGTAACTGGCAAAGTACTAAAATCCTAACATATGGCTATAGTTGCTGCAGACATGCCATATCAGTTTGAAAGAACAATATAAAAACACTCCCATTCTATTTATAAACAGAGTATGACATTGTGATGTAACATATATCAGTATTCAGATATTTACTAGAGGACAATGTATTCTAACATGACAGAATAATTGGAAATTTAGTAATATGTTCCAGTAAGCTATAAAACTTTTTTTATATTTTTACAAAAGGCCTTAATGTGTTTTTATAGACTTATGTTATATGGTATAGTACATAATAAGAGAAAAGCACCCAGACAGGCTTGTCTGAGTTACGATCAGGAAAACCTTGATATGGCCGGTGAATGTAAGCTTTACATTGTGTTGCAACTGAAGTGTCTCATTACCAGAACAGTGAGCAGTATTATGTAGCACAATCTGCTCTTTGCCTACCATACTAAGTTTATTCTTGTCAGATTTCTGATTTCTTAATATATTTTCAATTTTCCCCCTCATCCCTAAAGTCTCCTATTTTATGTAGTCATCAGAACCTTCCAAACATCTATGAGAAAAACTCATTCTTTCCAAAAACCTTGGCATGATGTCCAGGGCTCACTTGGACTGCAATTTAGCATTAGCAATATTCTAATGCATCATAAAGTCACCAGATCAAGCTTGCCCCTGATGTAATAGGGCTCAGCTGAAGAAAACAAAAAAAAGACCTATTTCATCTTCCCTTATATCAACAGTAGCATTAACACTTATTAGTATGTATTAGCATGCTCAGGGCCACATAGTAATTCAGCCACCCAGGAGTCTTATGATTTTGCTCCTTATATCATTAACACTTCAGGAGCATGCACCCACCTAAAGGAAAATGGCCTTTGAGAAACCATGAGAACAATGTGTTTTCTCACTGTTTCTAGATGCATGTGCTCTAAGGGTCACTGGAAGTTATTTGTTAAAACTCTTCCAAATTTCGCAGTAAAATCCCCTCTATATTCCCGTCTATCTGAACACCATCATGCTTCTATTTTTGATGCTTATCAACAACAAAATGTGTATTTCTGTGTGTCCAGGAAGGTATTAGCTACATTATTTATTTTAAATGTCAAAAAGCTTAAAAGAAGAGAGATTTAAAACTCACTTTATAGGGAAGAACAATGAAACTAAGAGAAATTAAGTCATATTACTTGCCCACAAGTAACAGCAACTACAGAAGGCATGTATGCCAATTTCCAGTCTCCAGAGCTGACCACAACTAGGCTCCAGCACACAAACTCTAACCAAACTTCTGACCCTTCTTCCTAAAAGAAAAAAAAAGTCTACGGTGTAATGACATACCACTTCATGGAAGGACACTAGACTACATTACACTGTTCCTTGGGCCAGCAACAAACTGATTACAATAGGACTGGAATGGTGATGGCTGGGCCTTAGTTTTCCAAAAGTAAAACAGACAGCCACAACATAGGAGAGAATAAAAAGGAGGAAGGATAACAAAAATCTCTTAGAATCCATTTCTTCCTACATAGGTCATCGCTGACAGGGTGAAAATGCTATTTCCATAATAAAGTGCCTTTATCTTATTATTTACAGAATGCCTGTCCTATAACAGGACATTGCGCCAGCTATCTACTATACCTCTCATTTAATCCTTATTTAAAACTCACAAAACAAACACTATCCTCATTTTTTAAATTAAAGAATAGAGGTTCTATTGATGTAAGTAACTTTTGGCAGACAATGAGGCAGGAATGGGAAGGGCAAGGATTCACACCTAGGTTTAACTGGCTCTGGAAGCTTTGCCCCTCCTCAGTGCTGTACTTATGAGCTTTGGAGACTTGTACTTAACTTTAACTAGTATGACATGATAGACTTCAGAATGAAGAATAAAAAGTATTTTTTAATTTGTTGGGGAAAGAATTTGACATTTAAGCCCAAGATACATTTATGAACTAACTTAACTGACTTTTCTGAAAAAAAAAAAAAAAAAAAAAAAAGCAAAGTGACTAGATTTTTTTAGAGCAAGCATTTCAACTAAAAAAGGCCTTATTATTACAGTTGTTTTTGAAAATTTTCAGGAGAAAAGACAGGGCAAGGGGATATAGATGAGAAGAGATGAACAATGAATTGACTAACCTGCTGAAAATAATCTAGAGTTGGAGACAGCAGAATTACAATCTTGACATTAGTCCCATATGAGTTATTACTCTTGATATCATTATAGCCAAATGGAATGAAAATAGAAGGGGGAGAAAAATCTCAGTGGGGATTGCAATTTAAATTTGCCATGTAAGCTAATACTGTATATTTAGAGACTAAGCAGACAGGGTGGTTGGTGGCTCAGAGTATGTGCAGGGATTGCTGTGCCAGCTAACCAAAGCAGACATTCATTAGAGCAAAATGTAGATTTCCATTTCTTGGCATCTGACATGAGCTCTTTCCTTGGAAAGAAATGTCAATTTGGCCAAAAGTGTGAAACCTACAATAAAAGCATTGGGACTGTGGATTTCATCTAGTCTGCACATTCCCACCCCACTGTTTCCTACTGTGGAAATCTAGTCAAGACTTGGGGTGCTGACTAGAGAGGTGACAAGAGAGCTGATTAGGGAATGATATGGTGAAAGTGGGAGGAGGACTAGGAGAGAGGAGATTGTTGCTTGCTTTCTTTTGGCTTTCAATTACCATTTTCTTTTGTCCTAAAACTGCCCCGCATAAGAAATCAACCACAATTACTGTTTTCCAGAGGACTCTGAACAATAGCAGTTTCCAAATACTTGGCATTGCCAGCTAGCTCTGCATGTGCTGAATGCTCATCCGAGGAGCCTGTGGGTAATATGTGCAAGCCCTAGCTCCCGTGGCAGCCCAGGGAAGTGGCCGCCTCGGCTTTAAAATTTCCCGTTTGTTTCTTTTGTTCAATAGACTGGAAAGACTATGACGACAGAGAGCCTAGACACAAGGGACAGAGTGAAGTTCTGGAGAGTCTGCTGCAACAGGTCCGAGCCCTTCATCAGCATTACAGCTGCCGGGGTAAGGATAAAATCTGCGTTGGGCCATCAACTGAGGTCTCGGTGGCGCCGGTAATTTTAGCAGTTTCCTAGCTGGGTCATACCTTCTCATTCATCAGGGAGCAAGAGATATTAATATTTGTACATCTGGAATCACTTTACAGCACTATCTTGCTTTAACCCTTCAGCAGAGACTACCCTCTCCTTCCCTCCCTTTCTTTTCTTTTTCTCTCACTCTCTCTCTCCACATGAACAGTTTGAAAACTAAGTAAAGGAAAAACAGCAATTACCAATAGTTCCCTTCTCTTTGCACTGTCCCTTCACAAGACTCCTTTGTGGTGCTGGATCTCTTGAGGATATTCAGCCTCAACATTTTCATCCTCAAGGAAAATTCTCCATACACCCCTGAGGGAGTTTAAACAACTATAATGACAATAATTTAAGCCTTCCAATCAATTAAAAACATATCTTACAATGCAACTTCACACCCACTAGCTTTTCTTCATTTTGACAATCACAACAAAATTAAGTGACTTTCTCCAGGACTCAGCACTAGGAAAAGACAGAATCAGGACTCTATCATGGGTTTTCTGGATCCAAGTCCATCTTCCTGCCATGCCTTATTGTCTTCCAGCTTCCTCTGAGGACTGGGCATTGAATTTTAAGCTCCCCTGAACTTTCTTCCTCTGGAAGAAAGTAGAGCTTACTTACCTCCTCTAGCTAACTTACCTCCTTTAGCTAACTGCACCCAGAGAATCTCTGAGATGCTTTTAAAAGCCTCTCTGCTGCTGGGCTATACAAATGGGACAGGGTCAGGTTTCTGATCTGTGTAATGATTCGTGGAAGAGGCACTTAGTTTTATTTGGAGAATTAAAGCCTCCATAAAGTTTTCATTTTCCATGCTCCCATCAGATCTCCAACTACATTGTGCTCTCTAGATTCAGGGCACTGCTGGGCCAAATGGGCAAGAATTTCACAGTTGAAACTAAGGTGCTAGGCTAGCTGGATTGGGATTCAAAATTTCTTCCTAATTTCTGAATAGCTATTAAAATAGAAACTTTCAGAAATATTGGCTCCAGCTAGATATGAGGACAGTATTTGAAAAACAAAATCCTTTTGAGTGGCTCATTAGGAACTGTAAATATGTATGTAAGCAGCTTGTGATATGGCTGCCTCACTCAACTCCCAAGTAGAATTTTCATTCCTGGATATCTAGGAAGAATTTATCTGAAACAGAACCTTAACATTCCACACTGACCAAAATATATATTACCTGAAGGGTCAATTGATTACTGTTAGTTTAATATCTAATAATCAGGAAAAGATTTCTATAATTTCTCCTCAACTTCTTTATGTACCACTTTTATGAAACAGATATAAATGTACACAGAATATTAGGAAAGATTTAATAAAGCATGAGGTAGCATTTCCCCAAAGGAAGATTTTTTTATATTGAAATGCACTCCAAAAACTTTTATATGATACACAGTTATTTAAAAGTTTGTCTTGTTAGACAAGCTTAGGAACTATCACAATCTTCTTGATTTTCTTGGATATATAAAATAAACATTAGAATATTCTAATAAAGAGGCATGGTAAGTTTGGTTAAACAAGCATTTTCCAAATATCTTTAGTCATGTAAAACTTGCCTCATAGAATTAGTATTCTAAAGTAGAACTTTGGGAAAATCTGACCTACAATATGTCAAAACAAAACCAATTACCTCACACACACACACAAGTAATGATTTTAACATTATTTATCATAATTCTAGGTCTAAAAGATAAACAGAGAATTGTGTAAATATATAGAGACTATAAAATTGTTATTTAAAATATTTAACTACACTGAGATACTTTTGGTTTATTAGGGACATAAACTGTTATAAAACTTTGCAATTAAACCTTTATAAACTTTACAGTGAGGAAAAATTATTTTTGTTTCATTTACTAGCTGTGTGTCTTTAGAGAAAGAAATTAACCTCTCTAAGCCATAGCTTCCTTAGAAAACTCAGGATAAATCAATAGCAAGTCCACAGATTGGGAGAAGATCTTCACTAGCCATACAATGGACAAAGGTCTCATACCTAAAATATACTTGGAACTCAAAAAATTAAATCCCCCAACAACAAATCCTCAGCTGCCCAATAAATAAGTAAGCTAAAGACTTAAAGAGAAACTTCTCTGAAGAGGAAATAAGAATGGCCAATAGACACATGAAGAAATGCATATCAAAACAACACTGAGTTACCACCTCACCCCAGTTAGAATGGCTATAATCAAGAACTCTAATAACAACAGATGCTGGAGGGGATGTGGACAGAAGAGAACCCTACTGAATTGTTGATGGGAGTGTAAACTTGTTTAACCACTTCGGAAAGTAGCATGAAGGTTCCTCAAAAGACTCCACGTAGAGCTCCTGTATGACTCAGCAATCCCACTTTTGGGCATTTACCAAAATGATCACAAACAAGACCATACTAAAGCTACCAGCACAACTATGTTTATTGCAGCATTATTTACTATAACTAAGATATGGAACCAACCCAGATGCCCCTCAGTAGATGAATGGGTCAAGAAAATGTGGTATATATACACAATGGCATTCTATGCCTCCATCAGATACCATGACATTGCCCCATTTGTTAGGAAATGGAAAGACTTGGAGAAAATTATATTAAGTGAAGTAAGTCAGGCCCAAAGAAACATAGGTTCCATGGTTTCCCTTATTTGCAATAACTAGTATATGTCTGGGACAAGCAGGAAAGCTCAGATAAGAGGATGATAAGCGAAATGAACCCCAAGATAGGGACACAAGTGGTTTTTTTTTTCTTCCTAGCTATTAGTTCTAACGTATTTATAAGGTACCATGTGATTTTTTTTGTTGCTTTGTATGTCCCTCCCCCATGGTACAACCCCTGCTTTCACTGTATTTGATGTTGGTATAATTTGTGGAGGGGAAGGGAAAAAACAAAATGCTTAAACAGGGATACAGACTGACCCATTGCAACAATGAGATGTACAAGATGCTATTTTGAAAAATGAACTTTACAATTTAGGCAGGGGTGGGGAGGGTGTAGTCGAAGAAGTGGGAGGGATGGGATGGTAGGGGAAAAACAAAGAAGGCAACAATGCTGGATAAGAAATGTGCTCATTACCTTGCTGGTGTGATTGTAACCCCTCTGTACAGTATTTTCACAATAAAAACTTATTAAAAATTTAAAAAAGAAAAAGAAAACTCAGGATAATAGCAACTAACATGCCGGGCTGTCATGAGGATTAAATTGGATAATGGATTGACCTCATCCTGCAAGCAATAGCGTGGTTTTCTTCCGTGTTTCTTCCATGTTCTTCTAGGTGAATAGTGGAGCCACTCTCCATGCTGAGTGCTTTGCTGGTACATTCTAGAATCAAAATATAATAAGTGTCTCCTCTGTAATGAACTGAGGTACTCACTGAATGCACAGTACATTCCAGAAACAGCAATAAAACATTTCTTTCTCTACCAAAATGCTACGTTAGCAATACTAAACCCCACGTCCATTTCTGCATTTTGGTCAAAGAACTGCACACAGCTAATCTGCATACTCAAAAATTCAAGGAAAATGTTAAAAGTGAACTTTATTGTACACACAGTTTATTTCCTTAAGATATACAAAAAAATTATACAGAGGGCAATTCTTTTCACCACAGTAGTATCCTATAGAAGTGAATTTCAATTACCATCCAGTTATTCACCTTGTAAAACAGTATTAATTGAGACCCTGTCTACTGCATGTCAGGTGCTAGACACACTAGTATGACTAAAACAAACTCCCTCATACTTCAAGGGCTTATAAGCTACAGAACAACTGCCTTTAGGGAACAGAAAACAAGTATGTGCTCTCTGAGCCAAGGAGAAAAATATAGTATAGATGGCATCATAAACATTTGGAAAAAGTGAAGTTAGGCTGTGGGTCAATCAAAATGGGCTACATTATGCCGCAATAACCAAAGAATCGCCCAAATTTTCCTGGTGCTGTGTATCAACCCCATCCCACATTCTCCCACCTCCACATGCTGTTCAGCTGCAAGCATTCCCTCTGGGTTGTTACCACTTCTTGAACACTTGCCTCTAGAGAGCAAAATGAGCTCTTCAAGGTCTTACATGGGCAAAACTATGCATATCACCAAAGCTTCAAACTCATTGGCCAGAACTGGTTAAGTGGCTCCACACAGCCAATAGGCCCAGAAGTGCCCAAAATGGAAGAGCAATGGAATGTTTGATATTACATGGCCCACTTAGCCAACTGATAAAAGAATTTTTAAGTTTTAGTCTATTTTTAAGCTTTATTTTTAAGTAAGTTATATATGATTATAATGTGTCTCCCAAGTCCCACTACCTGGGTTAAAATCCAGGCTGGACTTTCGCTAGCAAGTCACACTGAACCAGGTTTCCAAACTTCTCTGCCTTACTTCCTTATCTGTAAAATGTAGACAACAATTATAAGCACCTCATTTATGGTTTGGATTACTTAGAACAGGTTCATTTTTATAAAAAGGAGAAAAATCAGCTTCTTCTAACCTCCATTTCTTGCTGCCCCGGAGTAGCTTCTTAATTCCTTTAGCTAATTCTTTTAGTATTTTCTTAATAGCACTAAGTAGCATGTTATATTTGTTATATTTATTAATACTTCATTTTTATTTTTATGTATTATCTCAAAAATGATTTAATTCATTTTCCCTCCACCTCCCCTTTATGCGCACACACAATTTCTATCTTCTCATTACCCTAATATATTTATATTGGATCTTAGTAAGATTAGTATTATATATAACTTATAATGTAAATTTTAAGACTATTTACCTTTCTTGAGTGGCTTTTTGTTTCCCTGTAGTTTATAATAATTGTTATTATGTTTGCTTCTTTGTTCTCTGTGGTAAGAATCCCCAAACCATCCTGCAATTGCATATCAACAATAGTCAAATACATTAGGTATTGTGTCAACTGTATCTTGTTGAATAATCTTCTCATGGAGCCTCTGTCCTACTCTCTTCTACACAGGTAACTGGTTGCTTCTATGCCCCCTGCACAGCTGTCACCCTGGGATTGCCTTTCACCACCATATTGAGGATTCTTATTATCACTCTCCAATATTGGATTTCTTCTTTTTGTATCTCATATCTTCTTTTTCCTTGGGTTAGGTCCATCATTTTGGTAGAGGCTTTCCTCTTGTAGCTTCTTGAGAGTATGCTTGGGAGCTAATATTTTCAATACATTCCATGTCTGTAGAGGTGGTCATAAACATTTACTCAGGGTTTTAACAAATATAAAATTCTCAGATGAAATACCTTTCCTTCAGATTTTGAAAGCATTGCTTTATGTTTGAGTTTTCAGAGCTGAGATGTCTGATGCTATTCTGAAGGCAGAGGTTCTAGGTATTCTCATTCATATTCTTCTTCTTGCTGGAAGATTTTCAGTTTTCCTTTAAGTTTAAGGTTCTAAACTTTCTCTGTGGCATGCCTTACTATGATCTGCTGTCTGTTGTACTGGGCCCTCTTCAAGTCCTTTTAATATGGAAGTTTATACCCTTTACTTGTGGGATGTTTTGTTATTTAATTATTCCTTCTGATTATCTTTTTCCTTTCCTCCTATTAGAACTCTTGCTATTCATTCAACTTTTAGATCTCCTACTATTAGTTCTTTAATTTTCCTTTCTTCTAGTTTTCATGCTCTTGTCCTTTTACAACATTTTTTTCAGAAACTTCATCCTAAGCCTTCTATCAGATTTTCGAATTTTTGATAAAATATTTTTAATCTATATAGTTCTTTTAATAGGTCCCTTTCCTTTTAATGAGGATGGAATAAATTATCTCTTAGAATATTAATAATAGGCTTTATTTCATTTTATAATTCTTTTCTCAGCATAGTCTTTCCTCTAAGTTGCTCTTTTGTTTATGTGGTTTTGCCACTTGTATTTCATGTCAGGTTTATTTCTCAGCTGCTGTCTGCTCATATTTAAGAGAAATCAATAGCTACTGGGGGAGTCTGAAAACATGGACACGGCTCTTTGTTTATAAGCCTCACTGTGGGGTAAACTGGCACAACTTTTTCATTGGGGTGTGCGTGTGTGTGTGTGTGTGTGTGTGTGTGTGTGTGTGTGTGTGTGTGTGTGTGTGTGTGTGTGTGTGTGTGTGTAATTCTCTTGGGATGGTCAAATTCCAGAAAAGTTTATTGTAATGTCCTCCATGGAGGCTATGAGCTTGGGTGCCAGTGTTCTGAAAACCTACTGGGGAAATATTATAGATGGAATTTTCATTTTCTCCACCTATTCCTTAAAATGATACTACCACCACCACAGCCACCCTATATTCTACCAAACCTGATGTCCTCTAACCTTTTTACTCTAGAGACCTGTTTAGGGGGCTACAAGTTTTGTTTTGTACTTGCTTTGCTTTGCTTTCCAGGAAATAAGCCACAGCCTTCGTGTCATAAAGAAAAAGAAGTATTTGATTTGTTCAACTATCCAATAAGAAAGGATTTCTAGAAGTCAAATTGCCTTGTAAACAGATTTTTTAAATCCTTCTGATTTTAACTTTACATACATCCCCCACGTGCACAATCCATGGTGCCCATAGGGTGACTCAGATTACTTCTCAGCTTTCTCCACTGGGGGCTTGGGCTTCATCTTTCTCAAGTCTGTTGAATCCATCTGTCCATCTGCTTTCCAGATACCAAAATTTACTTGCTTTTGTATTCTTTCCCTTCTACTTGCCTTTATAAATTAATGTTGTTTCCCTTTGATTTCTTTTCTTAATCTCTCCTCAGGTTTTAGTGAGGTTTAGGAGAGAGTAGTGTGTAATAAAATGGTTTGCTACACAGAATTTCACAGGAAGTTTCAGAAGCATCATTTCATGAAGCCAAACTCGTGTTCAAGTCAGAAAATATTCTGTTTTGTTGAAGAATAACTTTACCAGCACAAGTTTGAAACTTTTATGAATGCTTTTTTCAGTCAGATCTAACAGAGAGAGAGAGAGCAACACTGAGCCTCAGAAGTCATATGATATGTACTGACAGCAGTCATATGGCCCATATTCACATCCCTAGTGACATGTCAAAGCTTTGGCTTCTAAACTTCATCATCTCTTCATTGCATAGACTATAACAGTTGAAATCACTGAGCACCCAGTCCAGCTCCATGGAACATGGCTTGCAAAAACTGTTACAGGAAATCTAATTCTTTAATAAGAGCTCTAAGTTGGAAACTCAGGAGCTGAGCAGAGCAATGGATTATAATCTCACCCTTGAAGCTAGAGAGTATCATACATAGTTGCTTCCTCCAAAATATTTCTTTAATAAATGCATGAATGTCTTGGTTTAACCAGATGCTGATGCTGATTACCTGAGTAATCCATTTCACTTCATAGGCTCAGTTTCTTCAGCTAAATAATAAGACAACAAACATACCTTTCCCTACAGCTATTTTTGTAAGCCAAATACACACACTAGGAAAAACTCCCAGAATGCTTGTAGCAGTTGTATATAAGGGGCAGGATAAATATTGGTAAGGTTTTGTTCTTTTTCCCCTACCTTCCCTTCATACTTTCTATATGATTATATTAATTTTATAATGCAAAAATTAATGGAATATGTAAATTAAAACAGAACATTTTGGCCACATTGAAAAATGTATTAATGCTAAAAGGAAACTAAAATGAATGGGGGAGGAATAAAAAAGTTAATTCCACTTCTTTTTATCCTACTTGATAAAAAAAATCACTTATTCAGAGGTTATCAATAAAACATCCAAGTGGTTTCCACTGGAGTTATAAATACTACTTATTGCCAACACTTATGAGTTGCTAATCATTAATCAACTACAGACATTGCAAGATATCATAGCTTCTTGTAGGAACAAATCAGAAGGATCTTTATGTGAAACTGGTAAAAGACACTTAAGAGACAAAGGGTGGGAAGGCAGGGAGGTAGGAAGCAAGAATATAAATGTCCTATCAATCAAAATTCATATTACATTTGGCTTTTATGTTCCAGAAAGTTCAAAGTTACAAACTACAGGCCGCAAGCAGTCAGTATCCAGGAGCTTGAAACACCTATTTCATTCTTCAAACAAGTTTGTGAAGAATTTAAAACGGTGGGTCCTATATAGTTTTCCACAAAGTCTTAGGTACTCTAGAATGAGCTGATCTTAGTTCTGAGCAAAAATGTGGCTGAAACTTATTTTTTATTAAAGGAATACTTCTGAGAATTTGGAAAATATAGTTCCTTCTCTGAATTCCAGTAATCTTATAAATATGTTCTAGGTATATCTTAAAATCATATTTTATCATGTCCAAAAATATAGTTTTTTTCTCTAGGGCTCAATTGAGAACAATTTTTTTATTTTGATTTTTCTTTTCAGGGGGCTTTACATAGCTGTTATATTTTATTATAAAGACAATATGTTAGTCACCAATGAAGATCAAATACCGATTGTTGAAATAGATGATTCTTACACCAGCTCCATTATGCAAGATTTTTTGTGGTTCACAAAGGTATTGTGAGTTCTGATTTCATTTTCCCCACTCTGCACCAGTGTTGCTGAACATAAATCTCTGAAACCTTAGTTGAAGAGTCTTTAGTGATCAAAGTTTGGAGATAGAAGTAACTTATCCCAAAGGTCCCCATTAGCCCTAGTATGCCCTATGCCATTAAAAAAAAATGCCAAAGTAGTGTCTACACTACATTTTCAAAGGAAAGAAGCTTGCATCATGTCAGATTGTGTCTCCACTATTCTGAATTATGGGATCATTTGGCAAAGACTAAAATGTGGATCTGACTATTTCATTAGCATTCAGATCTTTTTCCAATTGGACAGAGATCAAAAAGTTGTTTCACATGTATCTGAAAATGGACTGGAGAACAAACATCAGGGGTCAGGTTTCCTTCTCCCTGCTTCACTTTGATGCCACAACCTAAATCATACACTGGCTTGGACGATGATATGACCTCGTGACTTCTTTTGCAGCTGTCTTGTATGTGGGAAGACATAAGATGGCTGAGGCAGAGTGTGCCTATCTCCATGTCCTCATCCACAGTGCTTCAAACTCGACAGAAGATGCTTGCTGCAACAGCCCAGCTACAGGTGAGAGACCAGGCTTCAACTCAGGCTCTCCAGGAAACGGTTTTTAAAGTTGGGTAGTTCGCCAATCCTAAATGCAAGGAAAAGGGTGGGCTCTTTCTTCCTTCAGATTCCTAAACATATGAAACTTCTTAAACACATTAGCAGCATATCTCCTCATACCAGGAACCTGTGCCTTTGGCATGAGCCTCTGAACAAGGAGTAAAGAGACTTGAGTTCTAGATTTGACAATAAACAGCTGATTCAGTTCTCCTTCCAGGCCTTGGTTTCATCACTTGGAAAAAAAGAGGATTTTGACTAGATTACCTCTGACTGCATGTGCATATGAGTGTATGGAGGGGAAGAGCAGTAGTTTTTTAGAAAGGTCTGTTGATATGGTGCTTTTGATAAAATATTTTTTTTAAGTCTTAAAAGAATATATGGGCTGGGAAGGTGGCTCAGTGGTAAAGCGCTTGCCTTGCATGCCTGAGGCCCTGGGTTCGATTCCTCAGCACCACATAAGCAAAAAGAAAAGAACGGGAAGTGGTGCTGTGGCTCAAGTGGTAGAACGCTAGCCTTGAGCTGAAGAGCTGAGGGACAGTGCACAGGCCCAGAGTTCAGGCCTCACGACCGGACCCCCCCCCTAAAAAAAAGAATATAGCTAATGTTTATTATTTTATTAATCAGATTAAGACTCTAAATTCTGTAAGAATCTGGAAGTCATAAAGTTGCTCTTAGAAATGACACTAGATTCTAACTAAGCTCTTCTAGATTTTTCTCTCATTGATTCTGGTATGATCTTAATCTGTAGATCTTAGTATAAACACACACATCTGCTACATGGAGTAGAGTCTTTAAGGAATCATAGAACCTTTGTCAGAGATGGGTATCTACCTACAAAATTGGAAGTTACATGAACTCCAAAAACCTTACATTCTCTGTAGAAATCTATATAAGCTATTGTTTAGTTGAGCCATACCAGCCATGGCATAAAAATAAAAACTGAAAACAAAAAATAAATTTTAATTATAATAATTTAACCCTGAGTGCTAATAACAATGATATATTTCCATAAAGGGTTACCTTTGCCACTCTGTGCTCTGCTCCAGTCTACTGCCTTGTGTGCTGAATGATCTCAAGAGATTTTAGTAAACAGTGCTCTTCATTTCAACTCATTGTTGGTACAGAGTCTTCTCCAACTCAAGGAGAAGGTCTTGGAGCTGGGCCATGATGACTGTGCTGAGTTAGATTGTTCTTTCTTTTCATAGTGAGCCATCCACTTGATTGGACTACTTAACTATTCCTTAAACTGCTCTTTCTTTAGGATAAATTATATCTCAAGAAGGCTCAGAAACTTTAGTGGACCCACCTACTAACCATAATATAGCCCAGACATACCTAGATCACACACTTATAGCCTTAAATTTTCAAGCAAAGCTTTTTACTCTGTGTTTATTGGAGGCTTCCTAAAACACTTTCATCTGATATCAGTACCAGGAGAAGGATTAGGCTGAGATATGCTGAAAGATGCCATAATGGTCAGTATGAACCTACTCACTACGCCCATTGCAATAGTTTTGGATTTCTTCTTCTGATCCCAACAGCTCATTCCCCTTTTAAGGCTATTTCCCTCCTAGTTAACCCAGATTCCTTGACTCATCATAATCATTCCCTTGGAAATATTCCAAATTTACTCCTTTAACATTACCAACTTGGTAAAACCCAAAAACTAAATATACCAACATGCTACACTAAAGTAGCTACACTCTGCTTACTGCAAAAAAAAAAAATCACACACGCGTGTGCACACACACACACACACACACACACACACACGAGGGGGGGGAGGGAGAGAGAAATAGAGAAGGGGGAGACAGACAGACCGAGACAGACAGACAGGCAGACAGACGGAGACAGAGATTGAGATAATTTCCACATTAAAACCATGAATAAAATTCTCTTACAGAATGTAAGAAAGCAAGTAAATTTGCTTTCTCATACTATAAAGCAATTATATAAAACCTTATCCATTATCCATCCTACCACAACTTTTCCATTCTCTCTTCAACCTCATGTCAAGTGATGACTTCACTGTTTAATTCATTAAGAAAATATGTGAGAATGGGAATGAAATTTTTCACCATCAAATTTATAAACTCCCTTGAACTAATCCCATATTCTCTTTCTTCTTTTCTTCCTCAATAATAATTTCATCTACCAACCAAAGGTTTATTCTCTACAGATGATCTGGATCCCATCTATTCCCTCCTATCTTTATTATAGTAGAGTATTTCCAATTTAAACTTCCCCAAAACTCTTCTCTTTGCTGTTGCTCATTAAATCATCTATTTACCCCCTTAGATCAAATGTCTTGAAAGAATTACCTTCTTTTCCATCTACTTTATTTAGCATCATTTTTAGTTCTTTCTCTGACTTTTGCCACTACTATGCCTAAAATCTGTATTCTCAGACTACCAGTAATCAGATGCAGATGATGCTAATGGAGCTATTACTTCAAGGTCACTCACTAGCACAAGCCTATGAATGTGAGTGTCCTATAGTATTTTAGGTGAAAATAGGAAGTACGGCTGCACAGTGCTGGTAGATGGTCTAAAGAGACCAAAGACTCCAGTATTTAGGTGTGAAATGGAGGCATTACTCTTTTCTTTTTCTAAAAACTAATATTCATTTCATTCCTAATTTTATAATTTTGTTTTCCTTATCTTAAAGATGGTTTCAAAACTGTATAGTTTACCAATAACTTTGGTTTCACTAAATCTGACAAATACTTTTAAGTCCTCTTTGAGCAACTGATATCCCATAGTATTTGATTCATGTGACCCTACTCTCCCTTTTAAAACTGGCACATTCTTTGGCTCCCATTAATTCCACAGTCTTCTGATTTTTTTCTTTCTAGTCTTTCTCAATCACTTTTACTAGTTCACATGCTATTTTCTGTATAGAATTTTGTTCTCCCACCTCTTTGATTTCCAATTCCTACATATCTTTCAGGTTTCAGCTTCAGGGTTTTTTTTTTTCATTTTGGTTTAATATTGCTTTTAACTATGCTAATTTATGCTGCTTTTTATTATCAAGGTGATGTACAGGGTTTACAGTTACATGACTAAGGTAATAAGCAAATTTCTTGTCAAACTAGTTACCCCTTCCCTCATTTTTCTCCTACTCCCCCCCCAAGTTGTACAGATCATTTCCAACATATTTCTGTGCATATTGTTGTTGCACTGGCTCCCCCTTGTCCTTTGTCTCACTATTCCGTTGCTCCCCTTCCCTTCCCTAATTCAAATAAACATATATACAATACCAGGGTACCAAAATCAAATACAGTGACAACAGTAGATATGCCTTATGGGGAAGAACATACAAAAGAAACAAAAAGTCACACAGTACATTAAAAACAACAACAACAAAGAGAGACATCTTGTGTCCGTGTCTTGGAGTTCATTTTGCTTAGAGTCATCTTATATGGTCATATGTTCATAGCTATTGAGCTATTCTGTTCATCTGCTAAGATTTCCTCGACTTATACTAATTATTGAAAATAAGGGAAACCATGGGACCTATGGTTCTTTGGGTCTGGATTACTTCACTTAGTATGATTTTTTCCAAGTTCTATTTCCTTACTAATGGGGTAGTGTCATTCTTTCTGATGGAGCATAGAACTCCATTGTGTGTGTGTGTGTGTGTGTGTGTGTGTGTGTGTGTGTGTGTGTGTGTGTGTGTGTGTGTGTGTGTGTGTGTGTGTGTGTGTGTGTGTGTGTGTGTGTGCGCGCCCATCCTGACTTTTGAATTCAGGGCTTAGGTGTTTTTGTGCAAGGTTAACCTCTAATGGGGTAGTGTCATTCTTTCTGATGGAGCATAGAACTCCATTGTGTGTGTGTGTGTGTGTGTATGTGTGTGTGTGTGTGTGTGTACACCACATTTTCTTATCCATTCATCTATTGAAGGGCATCGAGGTTGGTTCCATATCTTAGCTAGGTGAACAATTCAGCTTCAGTTTTATACTTCCTCTGGGAACCTTTCTCTGAACTCCTAATCAGATGAATCACTCCCATCATACCTTCTTCATTCTGAATGATGGTCATAACCCATGAATTATTTTATCATTGCCTGTATAGTGACCCACTTGGACTAGGAAGTTCTAAGTAGGAGGAATATGTTGGTCTTACTCCCTTTTAGGGAAACTCTAAAAAGGGGGAAAGTATTCAAAGAACTGAATCTCCTACCGTAACTATCTGGATATTGCACCATCTCTAAATAGCAATCAGAGCCTCGTGGTCCTCAGTATATGGTCACCCTTCCAGTGCCCTCATCAAAAGACTGAGCACTGTGCTAAGTGCTTTACAAACTTTATCTAATTTAATCTTCACTATAACTTAATGAGAATGTGTTTTTTTATATTTATCTAACAGATGACAAAAATGAAGCCTAGAAAAGTTACTCTGTGCCCAAGGTCACAAAATCAGGAAGTAGTAAATGATGGACTCAAATTTTAAAAGATATAACTCCAAGGGCTGCATTCTTCCCAACAATTCAGCATATTATTGTATGTCAACTTACCCAAAAAAGTGAACAAAAACTTAAACACAAGATATTATCCATAATATACTAAAAAAGAAAAGTAGAAGCCTATCCTGCATCATTTATAGTCTATTTAGAAAGTAGCCTTAGAAGTAAGGTTGGAAGGGAAGAGAGAGAATGATAAAAGAGGTGACACTGATCAAGATATGTTAAAATCATAAACTGCTTTGTTGAATGGCAACTCCTTTGTACAACCACTTAAAAATAATAAAGACATATTTTCAAAAGAAGCAGCTTTAAATCATACTTGAAAGTTGAGATGTACGTTAAATAATTAAAATTATCTATGCAAAAAGAGGTACAAGCATCTGTTAAGATTTGGGTAAAATAATTGAAGAAATAGGTTGGGAATGTGGGTCTAGTGGCAGAATACTTACCTAAGCAAGCATGAGGCTGAGTTCTAATGCCAGAACCAAAGAAAAATT